ATCAAACCTCGTTTTCCTTCAAAAACTGTAATTGGATCTCAAATCGGTCAAGAGATGACGAAGCTATGAGCCAAATGTTTGTACTTAAAAAGCTCGGAGCAATTCTATGAGCCGTTATTCTGCGGTTAAGAAGAGATTTCTCTCGTGTAAAAATTATGTATATATTAAGCGTAAAAAGGGGTGCTTGAGTGATTGAAAACATATAAGTTTGAGGTGCTTGATTGACTGAAAACATATAAATTTTGTGGTGTTTGAGTGACTGAAAACATATAAATTTTGGGGCGTTTGAGTGATTGAAAACATACAAGTTGGATATGTTCAGTCGCTCACATTTTAAATATACTTTGTTGTAGCTTTAAATGCAAATAGATTACTTTAATTTCAAAGTATGAAAGAGCTTTAGGCGAAGTAATGTAACAACTAGAAAACTTTTCAACATCGTGGTTGAAAAATGTTTTCTGTAACGGATGTGGAAGCAGCAATACAAATACATCTGAAGAGTATCGTTATCACACAGCACAGGTTTCGTGTGTCTTCCTAACTAGTTTTTTCGTAAACTTGGTGGAAATGTTAAATATTTTATACGTTTCATATTATATGTCTCGTGAACGTTGCTTGTAAAACTGCGACTTCGTGTTTGTGAGAGTGACTGCACGTTCTTAATAACTGAATGTCTCTACACTTACAGTATACCGTGATAGATTTGTACTAATAACATTATAGGCGGAACAAGCTGCAGTTATTATGATTTCTTAAGGATTTTACCTTTATGGCTTTCTAAACTGTAATCATTTGTGTGTATTATTATCTTGATCAGTCCTTATTAATCTGATACAGTTCAGAAGTCAGACTATGGGTCCGGAAGGTCTACTGTTACCCCCTCTCCCCCCCCCAAAAAAAAGAAAAGAAGCAAAACAAAAATGCACTATCGTGCACTAGGGACGTAAGTGCGTTATAATGGGGTCAGTCTAATTCTAATATTCATTTAAAGTAGCTCAAAAGTTGGCAGTGGATGCTGTTTATTAGCTTGAATATCTCTTGAAGATTAAGGGCTGCTTATGTAGCTTTGCGCGAATATCCGAAACACAGAAACAAACTGATGAGTTTAAACATCGTTTAGAGAAATAGTTACAGATAGTCTGAAATATTACCTTTCAACATTTCAAAGGTCGTTGTCCTATATAAGACCTTATATGCCCCATTTTGTTATCTAATTAAATTAATCATGGTCATGTTGAACTTGCTATTCTGATGTATCAGATAAGACACGCCCAAGGGTTCGCATGAATGTGTAAACCACTACAGTGGCTTTTACTACGGTAATGATTCAAGATATCGCTTTCATTTCTGGGAATTTCGTTGGAAAACGCAGGGAAAAAATATTTGAACAAAATATGAAACGTTTTCCGATCTGCCTCATTTCTACAAATCCAATCATTTTAAATATTCCAAGAATGTTAGGCTTTGGCTATATTGTGTGATCCCAACATTTGTGCTGGAGTTTATGTTGTTGATACTATTGAATCGATCTAATTATAACAGAATAAGACGTTTGAGTAGTGATCAATTACATTCCAGTCATACATCATCGTGTATAACGCGGATAACATATAGGTGTGTCAATCGCTGAGAAAATTGGTATATATTTAACCTAATATATTTGAAGTTTATCATACTGCTGTACAGTAAAGTAGCATGCCATATTTTTATTTTGTAAATTATTTATTGTAAGAAGTGTGCTGAGATACCGTATTATTTCGTAAAAACCAATATTTTTTTTTCCTATTATTTATCAAACTGTGTATTACAACTCTGGCCGATAGATATCAGTGTTTGTCGTAGCCTTTGGATGACGCAATCCTTAACGCTAGTCTAACTCAGATCATAATGTCAACTTTATTAATCTGTAATGTTAGGCTATTTGAACTAGTCGGTATCATGTAAGTAAATGTAATAGGATCTGCTTTCAACAAGTAGTGTCTAGTACCAGTAGTGATTCCGTAGTTTATAAGAAAAATATAACAGGTTTTACACGATTTAGAATATGCAGAAAGAGGACAACTATTCATATATAAATTCGATGACGAGGAACCCACTTTGAGACTAATAATGGCTGGAGACGGCTT